AAATTAAGATCGTTAATACCAAGAGTCAAGTTCTTTAAGGATTTCTTATCTACAAAACAATTGATTTCAATATACTATGCATTAGTCCAAACACTATTAAGTTACGGCATTGTTGGATGGGGGAGTACTGCCTTCGACGTTAAAAAAACTTGTTTTACAAAAAAGAATTTTGAAAATTATTATTGTAGGCGTCAACATTCGTTACCAAACCGAAAAAGTATATCAGAATTTTGATATAGTATATCTTATGTGCTTGCCGTTACCTATATATACATATACAGGGTGTTCCTTAATGATATGCGAATGGGTAAGGGTGTGAATCTACATGAAAAATTAATTTTAGTTTGCCTTATAAACTATGGTCCAAAAATGTTTCCTTACAAAAACTCGGGGTGTTGAAGTTTTAGGAAAAAATGGAGATTGATTAATATTTTCAGATATTTTACTGATATTTAGTAGGTAGCGAAAGTTGATAAAGTTGCATATTTTTCAATGCAAAAATGATTTTTAGCTTTAACAGTGGCGTGCGTACTCATATTGACTTCGATATTTTTTAAGAAAAAAATAGTACGCCAACGGTTTTTTTTTAAATAAAAATTATTTTTGAATTCCTCGTTCAATTCAAAACAAATGATCTATTGGAATTGTTTTCCTTCGATGCGCCATTTTTGAGTAAAAAAATAAAAACCGTTCTATTGTCTAACTTGCAAAATTATGATTAATTTAATTGTAAAAATTAAACACATTAGGGGTAATCAACACAACTGACAACATAAAAATAACATTAAAACCAACAAACTGATTATAAAATTGTTGAAAATGGCCCCCTTCACTTAGTATGCATGCTTCCGCCCTCATTATCATGGGTTTGCGCACTCGTTGAAATATCCCTGGATTGTTTTTTATTCTATCACAAGCTGCAACTATTCTTTCTCTTAATTCCTCTACACTGTTAATGAGACTTGTGTACACTAGTGTCTTCAGATAGCCTTACAAAAAGAAATCTAAACTGTTGAGGTCTGGGGACCTTGGTGGCCATTCTTGGGGCCCACCGCGGCTAAACCAACGACTTGGATAAACAGTTTGTAAATAATTACGAACCTCTACACTGAAATGCGCTGGTGCACCATCATGCATGTACCACATATTGTTTCTTATTACTAATGGAACATCATCAAGCAGCAAAGGCAACTGCTGTTGAAGAAAAATTATGTAAGTCTGTCCGTCAAGTCGTCCCGGCAAGAAGAATGGTCCAATAAAGTTGTTGCCAATAATTCCTGACCATACGTAAACCGAAAATTGGTGTTGGAAATGGGTTTCGGTTATGGCATAGGGATTTTCTTCTGCCCACAAATGATTATTGTGGAAATTCTGAATGGCATTTCGAGAAAAATTAGCTTCGTTCGTGAACAGATTCATTGATTCAAATCGCGGATTTTGTGTAATTTTTTGATACCACTGACAAAAGGTCACACGCCTTGGAAAATCAATGGGAAGTAATGCCTCTACTCTTAAAATATGGTAAGGATAAAACAAAGAATCCACTAAAATTCTCTTCCTCGAACTCGTTTCATAATGTTCTTCGACTTCGTGCAGTACTGCTTCCTCAATTTCAGGTGTTCTCACACTTAGAGGTCTACCTTCAGATGTTCCTCTTTGGACAGAACCAGTTTCAACAAGACGACGATGAATATTAGAAAAGGTTCGACTATCTGGCAAAGCAGGATCGGGATATCTCTGGTGATAAATCCGTCTGGCTTGCTCACCATTACCGTCGGCAAGGCCTAATGCATTTCCGCCATTTCTGCATTTGAATAATTCACCATTATTAACAAGATTGTAAAAACTAAACAATGAAAAAGATGTCGCAGCGAACAGATTTGAATAACAGAGGCTTGTCAGATGTCAAAAGCCAGTGACATATTCCAGAGCAACTAGATATTTATTGCTAAATTGCATTCTTCAATTATTATTACATTAATTTTCTCGGACAATAGACCGGTTTTTATTTTTTTACTCAAAAATGGCGGATTGAAGGAAAACAATTCAAGAGAGATCATTTGTTTTAAATTGAACGGCAAAAAACCATTGGGGTACCATTTTTTTCTTAAAAAATATCGAAGTCAATACCCGTACGCACGCCACTGTTGAAGCTAAAAATCATTTTTGCATTGAACAATATGCAACTTATTAACGTTCACTACGTACTAAATATCAGTGAAGCATCTGACGCCGTTCTGATAATATTAATAATTTCCATCATTTTCCTAAAACTTCAACACCCCGAGTTTTTGTAAGGAAACATTTTTGGACCATAGTTTATAAAGCAAACTAATATTAATTTTTCATTTAGATTCACACCCTTAAATATTCGCATATCATTAAGGAACCCCCGTATATATGTATATAAAAATGAATGCTATTTAGCATGGTCACGCCATAATTTGAGAAAGACTTTACCGATTTCATTCATTTTTTTTTCCTAAGGCTGTATACAAGGTTCTTACGAACAAAAAACAAGAAAATTGCGCAGAAAATTGGGAAATCATTGAAAACCTAATGATTATTTAAGTTACGCGCGTTTAACAGTTGGTTGAGCATGGAGCACACACAGCAGAAGAAATATCTAAAGTAGAAAAGAGACAGGCACTCCTCTCCGCAATCTTTATACCAACAGCTATTGACAGTTAGCTATGTGAGAGAAAATTGCTTATGAAAACACAGTGCTTTCGTTTTTCGACTTATATTTCTTTACCAGCCGTACTTTGTACTGACCCCTTCAAAAGAAACTGTAGTGTTGCCTAATTGTTATCCTCGTCAGTTAACTCTATTTTTAAAAATGACGGATGAAAGTACGTTTCTTTTGCTTAATTATTGACTTTCCACTATTCCAGCATTTTGAACTTGACAGCTCGCATGCCGCAAAGTTATATTGTCGTTTAACAGTGTTTCTCGATAAAAAAATATTGTTTAATTTTAATAGTTGTGCACAGTCTATTCGATTAGAGCTTTTATCCAGTTTTCAGTTCATTCTATGAGTTTTTTGAGAATTATTTGTTCAAAAATAATTAACAATCGTGGAAGTTAGTTCACCGCAATAACTCCTTATATTAAAATTGTAATTCTTCAAAATGACACCAATTAGACGTACCAACCTAGGTCGCAGATCTCGCAATGCTGCAAGTCAAGGATATATGTATACGAAAGAGTCAAACGGACGAGCAACGAGAAGTGAGAAATGAAGTTGAACGGATCGAAGAACTGAAATTCAACAAAGTAGAAGTGGCAATCGATTACAGTTCACAACAAATCGTTGCTATTAGACTAAGTCCACATTGCAAGGCTTTCAAGTTTAAAAGTAAACCCCCTGGATTATGTTGCGCCAATGAGAAGATCAAATTGACTCCATTAGTGCTACCACCAGAGTCACCACATTCATTGGTTTTCATAAATGGGCCAGATTCTATACATTTTTTGATTCGTATCCAGCAATACAATAGTTATTTTCATGTTCTAAATTCAGTACTGTCACAAAACGGTTCGCAAGCCTGAATGCATAAAGTGGAAGATCTCTGGAGCGGTTATGCACAGTCCGTGAACTATCAGAATTTTGCCAAAACCCTAACGGCCTGAACCCAGGACTACGGCAACAATTATTATTTTGTTTAGTGCTACACGTGGCCCTGGGTCTTTGGGAAGTTGATTCACTGGATGAAAAATATCTTGCGTAAAATGCGCAACAAACTGTTTCTCAGTATAGGACGGAACAGATTCCTCAAAGAAATTATTATTTTTGATCACATCTTTGAGAAGCTCTGGCAAAAGTAAGTTGGGAGTAACTGGTTTAACTTCACCATCACGCTCAGACGACGATGATGATGACGAATCAGAATCAAAAATGATCTGCGTGTTGAAAAATATTTTTTTTTATTTTTTTGAAAAAATGGTGTCTTCATTTCTAACACTGGTACTTATTGATCCGCCCTCGTACACTTAATATCAATGCTTTGCTAAAGGCAAAAATGCTCAGTGTGAAATTTCAAAACACGACAGTTATTTTCGCGTTGTTTAAGCAGAAATGCCACCACTTTGGAAATATTTTAGCTAAGCTGCACCCATTCCATCCCACCTCATCACCTTCTGTTGCTTTCAGCAATCTAATCCTAATTGAAACAGCAAATATTGTTGTCGCATGATCACTAGAGTTATTGTCGCCGCCACAAGGTTGGTCCAGTGTAGCGTCTTCTATGTTAAGCCATGATAAGCGTACAGCTGACTTTATGCACTTATCTACAACTTCTTTGATGACTCAAGTTTTTTCGCTTCTCTATTTAGGATTAGATCTACTATATCTTGTCTAGAAAAAATAGAAATAATTTAAGACAGAACCAATGTGGTGTCCCGTATAGCTATGTAACATATACACGTACATAGTGCAAGTCACATGTTTATTCTGCCTCAAGTTACGACTAAGGTTTGATCAAGATGGGTTTGCATAGGTTCAACATAGGAAATCATGGAAAGTCATCTAATTTTGCAGAAACAGAACGAATACGTCATAAATTGGTTATAAATAAATCAATATATTTTTAACAATATCTGTAAGCCCCACAATGTTATACGGATACGAAACCTGGTGGCATTGTCATTATATGCATCTGAAGTACAGTTATTATAGGCTCACACCATTAGCATATCCTTTAAAAATTCACTGGCGTATTTATCGCGCAAATGGGTCTTTGAATATTTTAAATAGTAATTAAAAAGGTAAACTCCCTGAATGCGTTTTAATAAATTCACTCCCCAGATGCGATTCTATGAAGCGACAGGCGAAGATTTACAGTGCTCTACACAGTGTATTGTTAGTTTAATTCTGAAATAACTTCTCGACAGGTAGATTAAAATATCTCTTTAACATTTGATCATCACTATAGTACACATAGTAAGTTAAAAAGCATTCTCAACTACTGCATTAGTTATTTTACATCTTCCATGTACAACTACGGTGGAACTGTCCACGAAAGCGTCAGTCCTAATTCCAAATCAAATGATATATTTGTAACTGGTATTTCTCTTAGCACATTATCTTGAAATAATTTCGAGAGTATGGGCGCCGCTGCTGGCTGAAAGAAGCACGATATGGTAAGACCAGTCTTTAATCACCATCTAGAGTTCTAGAGCATGTTGGGCCAGCGCGAAAGCTGAAAGTTGATTTTCTCTCCAACTGCCGGCCAATCGTCCCAGGTAATACGCCAAGTATCAACGAAACTAGAATGTGCGCGGACCGTAGACATTTGATGAAATAATATGGGACGGAAGCTAAGAACTTATCAACTTCCGAGCCGATATTTCAGAAATGGGACAGTTTATTTCCTTCAAATTTTCATATGATGTTTTAATGGTCCCACCCTGTTGTTATGTGATCAGTTCTTTGAACATTTCTACAGGGTTCATTTCTGACTAAAATTGACATAATACGAGAAAATATCAAGTTTCTCATGAGAGCCCAGCCTAACAAGCATTTTGTTAAAATGGGCTACCACCCAAGAAAGGATTACCTATATTTGTCAAATCTAAGTAATTATAACCTTGAATGATGTCCTCAAATGTTGAGATGCCTTGGCAGTTGAATTCTTTGTAAAAAATTGGTAACTATGCACCAAATTAGGACCCTAATAGACCTTTGACCAAGAGGCGAGATTGGTTGGTTCAAAACTATAAAAAGTACTTGAAGACTTCTTGACCTGGAAGATAAATCCGGAGATTATAGCTTACCTAACATTAACCTGAAAGATGGCATCGATGTCAGGTTCTTTTTTGAGCTTATTAGTAAGTAAACATTATCTTATTAATGACAAATGAAAATTCCTTGCATGCGTACAATATAGATTTGTAAAAAAAGAGATATCTGAAACCAATAATTTTGAAGTGATATTTTCTTCTCTATGGCACGTTTTAGAATCTTTTTTCTTTGGAACAAGCTAAATAAGGAAATTCGAAAAAACATTAGAAAGACGTATAAATCACAGAACTATCAAAATCTAAAATCAAACGCTAATAAAGAACGCAGCCCGATACATTCATCTCTCTCTCTCTCTCTCTCTCTGGATTAGGCAATGACTGTAATTCAAAAAGAAAGGCTGATCCCTGTCAAGAATTATTAATACACGCAACTTGAAGTGGAGTTGTAGTATAATTCATACCTCTCTCGCTAGCTACGGGAAACTAATACAACCGACATACAACAATCTTAAAAATTATTAAATATCGAATTGTCTGCTGAAAAATGAAAACCAGTACCTCGTTACACCTTGATTTAGAATTTTACCTCTAAGTAATTATTAGGTCTGAAATTGGGTAAACTCAACTATAAAGTTAAAAATGCATGCTATTTCGATCTGCAGCGTGGTAAAGACTAAAGATGTACTATTGGTTAGAATTTTTGAGAAAAAAATCCCTGCAGGTCAAAATTCTGGAAACGGTCATATTTGATATGCCCTGTTTTTAATATTAAAACATGAACATTAACTCATTGTTTACATATTACGTTACTTTTGCCAAAAATATTTACGTCACCCAAAAACTTCACGCATTAAAACAAAGCGTTCTTATATACGTAATTCGAGGTCATGTTGTTATCAGAGTGTCTCGTTAAAATTGTTAAAATTAGTTGGCTTAGCTTACTTCTAAGACCCCTGAATTATGGGTAACAATTGTGTTCACATTTGACGAAAAAAAATCTTGCGCATAAATATTTTTCGTTCGCTAGTGACCGAACATGTAATTTCGAAATCAACATTTCACATTCCACAAATAGAAGCCATTTTTTTGACACACTTGGCTATAGACAAGTGCTTCACCAGCTAATCGTATTTTTAATCAGTAGGTTACCAACTGTATGTATGAGCAAGAGAAAGCGACAAACTATATTTTCTGCATTGTTAAATTTAGGTCAGACTCATGTGATTTATACTGAAAAGTTACTACGATTTTACTACAAATTGACCTAAATAGTTGATTATATCCTTCGACCTATTAGTAATAAATGCCTTATCGACCTAATATAGACTTTTAAATTACTTTGGTTTTATTCCCCCACTTTGAGAAAAAGGTCAAACGCTTGGAAGTAAATATAATCTTTTTTAAATAGGTCATGCAATCTTTTCAACCTGTTTTGTGGTTGAATTAACGTAATTATAATTTAAAATGTTTCTTGGGAGGGAATGTCAAAAGTATTATCTCGAGAACTGAACGGTAGATTTCGTTCAAGCGTCTCAGAATAGTTTGTCAGTACAATACCTTGCACACATGAAAATTCAAGACATTTCTATAAACTGTGAACAAACGCAAGTAATACCTTATCACGAATCCATTCCAATATTACTACAATATTATGTACGAATGGTGTGCTCGTGGAATGTCTCCATCGATAAATCGATTTTGTCTCTTACTGAAATCACAGTTCCATCCAACTGGGAGAGAAAAACGTATCAAATTATAACATGTTGATTTATGAATTTTTTTTTGGATATGACACGGTACTGACACATGCCAAAAAACCAAAGACAGTGGATGTTGTAGAAGCCAGACCCATCGTAATATAGCAGATGTATGCATCCAAATACTCCATAAGCTGATTATCTGAGGAAGAATTGAGAAATAACAATTCCTTAAACATTTTCGAATATCTCTAGCCTGCGACATTTTGTTTTCTCATTCACTTTCAAATAGCATCAAGTTTTAGCTCGTAATATCTCGCAATGCTAATAATGTCAATATTTTTCAGCTACATACCAAGACAGAAACACTGTAACGAAACCACGTTTAATATCCAAATATAATGATGTACTTTTCTTTCGAACATTATCGTGACTTTACCACTAGCTTCACCAAAAATACACAGCCACCTACCTCATAGTAGATAAACCCAACTCTTTGGGAAACGACTCCTATATCCTGCGCGATTTGGAAGCCGTACTTGTGCACTAATTGCACCGTTTTTCACTGCAGCTTCCCCAGGGCCTCTTTGGTGAACGATTTCACCTGGGTCTTAGGGTTGGAAGACAACAGGAGCGGCTGAAGGGGTCCGAACTCTTTTATGAGGCGAGAACTCGTTCACCTCCAATCTCACACTGGAGTGCGGTCCGCAAGGATAGGATATCGGTCTCACCGGGGCGTTGTATTCACCCAGTTGCACTAGATTGGTCACTGTGGGGCTCGGTGAGGTACGTCTGAGTCGGTTTTAGTTGCATTTTGAAATATATATTTCGGCTTCTGTGCTTTTGCTTCAGATATAGAAATAATGGGGAAACTAATATTTTTAATAAGTTTGAATGTTTCGAGTCTGGAAGTTTAACATTGTCATGTATCTTAAAACAGCTTCAAGTTTGCTGATTTTAAGTTGAAAAGGTTAAAAATTTGTCAGGCGGTATCTTTATGTAAATCTGCACGTATTTCCGCAATATATTAGTTTACTGACTCTACATCAAAATATGTATCAGAATCGCGTATAGTAGACATATCATGATTTTCTTAAATTAATCACCATCAGTTGCACGCGGGTGGCAACAGCATATCGATAATGGTAGATGAGCGTCAACTTTGCTGCTAGCAAGTCCGAAAAAATAAGATTCACCTACCTCATCGTATATAAAGTTATCAATCTCCTCGAGGGGTCTGCCATACAACTTTTTGGGGAAGGGCTCATATTTGGCCGGGAGCCGGGAACCATCCTCGACGCTCAACTTCCTGCGCGGTTGAAAGCCGTACTCGCGTACCAGTTGCACCGTCTTCCGTTGTAGCTTTTCTAGGGACTCCTTGGTGAACGGTTTCACCTGGGTCTTAGCCTTGGAAGAAAGCGGGGGCGGCTGAAGGGGATCCGAGTGTCTTTTATGGGGCGAGAACTCGATCACCTCCAATCTCACACTGGAGTCCGGTCCGCAAGGGTAGGAGATCGGTCTCACCCGGGCATCGTGTTCATCAGTTGCACTAGGTTGATCACTGTGGGGTTCGGTAAGGTACGCTTGGGGCGGCTCCAGCGACATTTGGGGTCGGTTTGGTCGGTCAGCGGCGGCGTGTAGCGTGATCGTGGAGGCGTCTTCGACGGCGAAGCGACATGGCCGGAGGATCGCGACGAACTGGAAGAGGCGCCGGCGTTAGCGTCGCGACGCTGCACGCCGACGCGATCGAAGCGACGCTGTAATAGTCCAGTACTTAAGGAGAATACTTTATTAGATCTTCAAAAATTATGTGAATATTGCGAGTTTTCTACAGCTATAGCCGATTCTCGCTTCTCAACCGTCACAATTTTCGATCCTCCCAGTCACTCTCCTGGAGATTCTTATCCTCGTAGCTTCTCTAAGATCAGTTTTCCAGCTCCTGGGTTTTTCGGTTACCTATCATTGTTCATACGTTCTAAGTGGTCATACCATATAAGCATCTTGAACTCGATAGTGTCATATTATTCCTTCTACTACGATTTTCCCTCTTATCTCATCATTCCTAATATGGCCGCTGGCGCTGCTTCTCCAATAATCCAATTCAAGCGATATCACTCGATTTTTGTATTTATCTCAGATTTCCCATATTTCAGTTTTATAGGTACTAATGCCTTCTACAATAGTTTTATGTATAGATCTCTTTATTTTTTACTAGCTTTGTTACTTCAGAGGATCGGGTTTAGTTACCTAAAAACTGGTTTGCCTTTTTGGTGTTAATTTTCAAACTCCAATTTTTATACTCGCTGAAAAGCTTCATCATGTCATGTCGTCAGTATATTCGACCATAAACACTTGATCTGACAAAAAAATAATATACGCTGAAGAAGTGACCCAAAAATTCGCCAGTTTTTACGCATTGGATTCCGCCTTGAGAATAAACCTAAAGAAGTTTCCCAGGCAATCAATGAATCGTGTTCAAGAACCAAAAAATGTATTTTTTATTGCTTTTAGACAAGTAATTAAGGAGCTTTCGAATATAAATAATTGCCAAATAATAAAGTACTCAGAATTGAACCAAAATGCGGAAATACCCGGGGATCGATCTAAATTTATTCATTGAGATAAGAAAAAAACAATGAAGCCTGCCAATTTTGATTGAGGCATATTCAATATACAAATACTGGAATATATTTGGCTTCATACGAATCAAGATATGCGAGCTCTATTCGTTTTATAGATCGCGATGAATAAAACTAGGAACATGTTATGTCTTTCAGTTTATTTCTGTAAGTTTCACATTCTTTAGAGCGACAGACTCTCAAATTTCTTATCAACCGACAAGTGGGTGTTTATACATTAAAACCTTGATAATACCCACAAAGTAACCAGTGGCGTGCTTAGTTAAAACTCAGAATGCTTGGTTGGATAGGATAACAGGAAAATACGTCTATAAGCAATACAGATTCAGGCCCTTAATGCCTACCGTCGATTCAAAGAGTTTCATATAAATCACTCGAGTGAGTTAAGAGAAATTGATAATACCAATATTGGAAAACATTAACTTTCCTTCCGTAAGGAAGTCGTAAAATACATAAGTTGATAGGAATATTTTTGTTCGGTTCAATGAGATATGTTAGTCGTTATATGTTGATTCTAAGTAACTGCTAATATAATTAAACGAAATTGAAAAAATAGAAAAGCGCTCAAAATTAATAGGTAAACTTTCTAAGCGCATTTCAGTGAAAATTCCAAAAATGCATTCATTGGACCTGGGTAACGAAGCCTACACCTAAAATAGCATCTCCACCCTTTATATAAAAAAATGGCGTCAAGTAGGTTGACTCTGCACTTTTCACCCAACGCCGACATCAGTTCATTAAGATTATGCCCAGCACCCTAGAGAAATAAAAGAGCGCCAAAGGCCTTGTATTTTGGATTAACGATAATTGCTAAGCTTTCACTCGTTGTCCCAGAGACCAAGCCTAGGCTTTGCTGATAAATTGCACAAGCATCTTTCCATCTTCGAACGGACAAAAGCAGCAAGCATAAGTTAGACTCTCTGAGAAAATATTTAGTTGCGGACATGTATAATGGAGAAACTAAAATGATTAAGTCTGTCAACTATGTCCATACAATTAGTAAATAGACATTATTTCACTGCCCTACTCGGGGTACAGTCCATATGACAGCGCAGCCTCTCGCCAATACGCGATGGCACGATGCGCCAAACGCGACAGCGCGGATCAGAAGCAGTAATGCCAGCACACCTACCAAAACCGGCACTCCGGACATAAGAAACAGAGACGCGTATCGAAAGCAATTTTATATCATACAAGTTTCAAGGGCAAATATAGACAATAGTCTATGATGTATCATCAAAAATTATCCTCCCCACCCCCTATCCTCTAATTCTATAGGGATGAACGTCTCCAAAAATGACCAGGATCAGCTGAAATGTCAAAGAATGAAGTTTGAGCGATTCTTATTTATAATTTTTTTTGTTTTTTTTTTCCTTTTCCTCGTCGAGGCTTTTTCCAGTTGTAGTAATTCTAGATAGTTCAAAAATTGGATTAACAAAGTTTCTCTAAGCTTAGCAGTTGCAGTGCTCTGATATTCAGACTTCTGTTTACACGTCTGTTTCTGTGTAAAAGTATAGTAGACCGTGCAAATCTGAAAGCTGGTGAAGTGAAAGTAAGTAGAGTAATTATTATTTCCAATACTTCCAGTTATTTGATGTTGCCTGACTCCGATCCACTTGGGGTATACATTCATAAGGTTCGTATTTTCCGAATTGTTTCTTCTTCACCACACGTAATGTTGAAAACAAATTAGCCCAGAATAAACATTGCAGATGCTGAATCCTCCGCCCGATGACTGCTGACTGGCCGAATTAACCTCATTAACCTTTCTGGTGCAATGCAGTTCCATACTACCGTCGGCCGTGGTTTGTTTTAGGGTATTTTACGTGTGCAAACGACTGTCTATGGACGTTATCTACGTTTATAATCGAATTGTTGATTCGATAGCCAGCCAGCCTGTTCCCAGTATATTTAGAATACGTCCATTTTACACGTATGTATGCACAATTGCACATATAAAGTAAAATTTAAATGTGGAATTCAAATAATCAACCTTATCTAGACAGAATTTAAAGAAGGTTGAATCTTCAAATATAGGCATATTTATATTTTTGGTCCGCAGTACTGAACAATGTTGAGATCGAAGTGTAAATAACATAAACCTGATATAAAATGGGTCAATATATTGTGTAAAGAAGGCATTGTATTCATCGTAGACCAAACGGTTTTAATATAACGTGATACATTGATATATAGGGTGATTCAAATTGGGTTTCCACATTAAAAGTATTTAAAAAAAAAGAAGAAATTAAAATTATAAAAAAGTATGCATTTGTCCTTTCAGGGCAGTTCATTGCAATTATGCTTGAAAGATCATATTAAGTAAATGTCATGTGGCATGACGTAATCCGTTTCGAGAAATTTTCGACTACTCCGTGGCACAATCAGGTCCTATGTTGGTAATTTCGCGTCTGATCTCCTGTTCAGCTCCGCAATTGTGTTCGGTTATTCTTGTAGACTTTGCTCTTGAAATACCCTAAAGAAAATAATCTAAGGGAGTTAAATCACAGGATCGCGGCGGTCAATTGATATCGCTGTTACGTGAAATAACGCGACCTGGAAACTTGCCGCGCAGTAGTTGTATTGTTTCTCCTGATGTGTGACCTGGGCTTCAATTCCTGTGTTATTTGGACTCTGTATGGGTGTAACTTCAAATCTTTTATTAAAATCCGCTGTATAGTGGAATAAGTAAGGTCCAGTTGCTCGATAACGAATCGAGGTTCTTGGATTTTTCGGCCACACTTTCGACAACAATAGCAATATTGTGTTAGGAGCGACCTCTACGAGCACGCCTAGGGTTTTGGTGTTAGCTAGTTAGCTACGGATCCAGTTTGCTCGAATTTTTGCACCAAATTCTAAACTGTCCTCTCACAAGGCCGATTTTGTGCGCCAAAAAATTCACGTAAAGCACGAAATGTATTGTTCCTTGATCGGCCGTTTTCATTATAGGCTTGGATAATTTTAACACGTTGTTCGGTCGCATATTGCTTCAAGACTGTTTGTTTATATTTTGACGTTAGAAATGGCACGTTGTCGTTGACAAATTCAGTAGCGTTTCCAAAAAAAAATTATTTGTAATGTGGAAAGTCAATTTGAATCACCCATAATGATAAGGTCAATTTTAATTCCCACGCCTACTGTCGAGGAAGTATTGTAATCGCGAAAAGGTTTGAAAATGAAATATTTTTTTTTGATGGAATATTACATGTACATCACGAAAAGCCATGTCTCTCATTTCCGTCGGTCTGTCTGTTTGTCGGTCTGTCGATCTGCCTACCGGTCTGTCTGTCTGTGTGTCTGTCTGTCGGTCTGTCCGCTAACCTTTGGATCGTCTATAACTTAGAAAGTGCCGCTTGGATTTTGAGACTAGATAACTTACAACGATGAACAAGCTTTGTAGCTTTTGAAAATCGGTCCAGTGGCGGCGGCGTGAAGCGTCAAAAAACGAAAAACACAAAATTCCTTCAAACTTTGGTTTTCGCTGTTTCAGAGGCTAATAATCATGTAGGAACTAGAATACGGTGTTTGGGGGCTGTAGGGGTGGGGTGTGGTAGGATATATCTTATTTCTTTAGCTGCAATATATTTATACGCTCCCATCCTCGGTAATTTTGCGCACCCATTAGTACATAAGCCGCACATCATAGACTTTCCCGTACATTCGCCGTTCAAACATACAGGAATATTAACTGTTGAGACTCGAGACACGCGGTTTGTCGACACCCGTATTACGTAACTTAAAAAGTGACATTATACCTATTTTTTATGACACTATGTAGGTTTTTTGACATGATGTAGGTTTTCATATGTCACCTTTCGACTAGCTGATAATTACTGATGCTCACTTGTCGCGCGGAATTAACTAGCGGCACACTCGCCGCTGCCTGGTGCATAAGCTGACATTTCACCGATTGTTTCGACATTATATAGGTAATGACAACCTCTATGTGCCTGACGTGTTTGCATCTGACTACAGTTCTCGATCTTGAGTTATAGTATCGTGGCTGGCACTTATGGCACGATTGACTGGTGTGGTTCA